TTAGAAAATAATAATAATAATAATAATAATAATAATAATAATAATAATAATAATAATAATAATAATAATAATAATAATAATAATAATAATGATAATAATAATGGTAATAATAATAGTAATAACAATAATAGTAATAATAATAGTAATAATAATAGTAATAGTAATAATGATAATAATAGTAATAATAATAACAACAATAATAATAATAATAATAATAATAGTAATAATAAAAATGATAATAATATTTACTTCAATAGGTATTCGTGCTTGAATTAAAATTACCAGCATAGAGTTGCACCAAATACTTTCATTCATCTTCATTCCATTTAAAATTAAAACTTGTAAAAAAAATACAGAACATAGTAATAATAACAATTATTATTATGAATATAATTATTATTAATATTTGTTTCTGAAATACATGATTGAATTAAATTAAAGGTATAAAGAGCTGAAATTAGATATAATTAATTATTATTGTAGCCAATATAATTATTATTATAAATATATTTATTATTACGAATGCAATCATTGTTATGAATATAATTTTATATTTAATTTAAATTCTTCCGCTTACTATTATTACGATTTGCAAAATACAAATTTCATATATTCAGTTTTAATCTTTTTTTAAGAAATTCGTGTATTGTATTTGATTATCATCACGTTATCAGTGATTTGGATCAAATTGTTATTTGGTCTAAAATGTTATCACGGTATCACAACGAAATACTTCCATTCACCAATTTCATTTCAAATTAAAACTTGTCAAGCGGGAAATTTTTGCACTAAATATCATCGTATTGATTTTCGTTATGTATGCGTTTTGTTTTATTTTTTCAACAAAATATTAAATGAAAGAATTAGAGAAACACAGTGGGAATTAATTAATGAAATATTGATAATTGGACTTGCTGATAGGTCCTTATAATGAGAAAGAAAATAATTTTCATAGTTTATATATCTTTGAAATGAATTTGATTAAATGAAATTAGGAATCAAAAAAAGTTTGAATTCAAAATTTAAGCAAATAAATTTCAAAATAATTTGGAAATATTTCGTGCATTACAGTAGAACTTTTCCGCCTCACTTTTTTATTTTGCGCTTTACGCTATTCTTTTTTTGATTAACAAAATATCTTATCATTTACCTTACCGTAAGCACTTCAAATTGCATGGTGCTGCAATTTTATGATATCCTATCAGGATTATAACAATTTTACTAAATTCATTTAAATGATAACTACTCTTAAATACTAATATATATTTAGTATTTGTATTTAAGAGTATCAATAATTCGTCTCAGATAATCCAGTGATTTCTCCCGGTTACATACATGAATATTTTAACAGGATAAAAACAATTGATTCCTTCATCACTTACTTTGCTTTTTACTTTATTTAAAATATTTAACAAATGTTAATAATTGGGATTTTTTTTTTATTTCCAGCGACGATCATTCACTGTCAAATCATGTGATAATGATGGAATTTGCACAGTAATTTAAATTTTGATTAAAATATTGAATTAAAAGTTTAAATCGTTTGACTATTATTTTTTTTTCTCATAAAATTGAATGGTGAATATTTGCAAAAATATTTTAGTAATAAAGAAAATAATAAAATATATTTCACATTTTCTAAAATTTTCATTCTTTCAATCAATATTGCTATCTTTCAACATTACGAATAATTTTTTGATAGGATGAAGGTTGTACTGTTGGTTCAATTGGTGCAAAATTTATGGGATTTATGACAGGACCATTGGTAAATATTTGGGATTGTTGCTGCACAAAAATGTTATGCAATTCAGCTTTTGTTTATTTTAAACATCCAACTGCTGATATCCTAATATCTTTTGTCATCCTAATATCTTTTGTCATTCTATCCTAATATCTTTTGTCATTCTCATATCGTTGTATATTCGACAACAATATGTTTTATTTAATTTATGTGCTACAAATATATTTCTATGAATTTGTAAAAATCAAAATTGAACTAATTAATTTTTTAATTTAATTTTAAGTTTTATTTTTCGATTTCAATTATTGGAGGAAATTTTAGCTAATTATATAAAAACATGTATCACATATGTTAATATGTTGTCTGTAAAATTAATCCAAACACTGCGTGAATATTAAAAAAAAAAAAAAGAAAAAAAAAGACCGGAATAGGTTAGAACAGAACTGTAAAAAATATAGGACGACATCTCGAAACTAATTATTATATTGTGATTATATTAAAATTAAACAAAAATTTAGGTTGTCAATATTATACGAATATTCTCCATTTGAAAAGTTGTATTATTAACTAATATAATTAATTTGCTAAATGTAATCGCTAATATACTATAAATTAATTTAATCAATTGTATCTTACTTTTTTGATATTATTTGATGATTTTTTTCTAACATTTATTATTTTATCTTTTGTGCTATTATTCATTATTCTGTTATAGCATTATCTACGACATTTTTCTACTATAGCATGACCTATGACAATCATAGCGTGATCTGTGACATTTTCTACTAATAGCGTGATCTAGGACAGTATGTATTATAGCGTGATTTGTGACAAGTTTGGATTATAGCGTGATATGTGACATTTTCTACTAGCGTGATTTATGACAATCATATGTTTACTATACTCTCATATTTGCAAATAATAACGAATGATAAATTTTTGTTACCAACATTTATTGTTTCCAAACGTTTACGTTTACTGTACTTTGATATTGCGTACGCTCATACGTTAGTACGTCTCTTAACACGTATATAGAATTGATCATCAACGTGTGATGTGTTATACTTGCTAATGAATGTTTTGTATATTTACTAAATTTTTTTCAGGTAAATATTTACGTAAACTTACAGATTCTTTTACGTATGGTTAAATTATAGATTTGTTGTTATAATATATTTCGTGAAACTTCTCGTGGCTTTGTTCAAGAAAAATTTCCCAAAACATGCACTGTACTATAACTAAGGTACCAAATTAAACCTCAACTTCCGGGAATTCTGAGGGAAAGAGTGATTTTATCTTACAACGGTAAATGGCTTATGTGATATACAATAAATACACTTATTGTATACCACATAAGCTAAATCTTGAAGAACTAAAAGATATCAATGCTAATTCGTCTTAAGCTAAGCTATACTGTTTTACGTGAGACAAAAATCTTTGCGCAATTGTCGCATGCAACAATTCTAGCGGGATTAGTGTACTGAGAGATCGCGATATTAATG